GTTCATACGTTCATACGTTCATATGTTCATATGTTCAGACCTTCAGGCTGCTGTAGTTGGTCAAGGTGAACACATGATCTATAATCTGTTTAAACTGCAGCTGTTCTGTTTCAGGACTCTTGAGGTTCTGACTGAACACATTCGTTCTTCTGATGGGAATTTAAACAGTAAATAAAGTTTAAATAGACAAACACACTGAGTCAGACGTGATGTGTAATAAAGTCGGGCTGTTCTGTTTGAGGTCCATACCTGACCGTGTGAAGCGCTGTGAACTGAGCTCTACAAATAAAACGGGATTGAATAAAAACAGTCGTGGATGTGGTCGGCTCCTGCTCAGGTAAAATATTAAAATAACCGCTGGTAGATTCACACCTTTGACATAAACAGATCATCAGAGAGGTGAAGCAGCTACAGCATCTTCTAAAACACATGACGTCTCCTGATGGACTCAGGAAGTTCAGCTCCACTGATGTTGACCAGCGTCTGAATGTTCACACTGAAACCTGACTGGGCTCTTAGTCAGCTCCCCTCCACCCAGTCAGCGTTTCTTAGAGCCCGAGGAACCGAACGCAGAACGGATCCACCAGAACCACAGAGACAGGAACGTTCCAGAAACGTTACAGCAACGTGATCTGATTCTGATCTGACTGATGGAGGGGAGTCGGAGGGTTAATCATCCATTCATCCATCCATCCATCCATTGATTCATTCATTCATTCATTAGTTATTTAATTGATTCACTGGTTATTTCACTGTTAATCTTCAGTCTTCTCTCCAGTTTGTCTCCAGATTAATGTCCTCACAACATCAGCAACACACACAGACACACACTGACACTGACCCCCCCAGCGGGCTGCAGAGGCTTCCCAGCATGCACCTCTGCGTGTGTGTGTGTGTGTGTGTGTGTGTGTGTGTTCAGTGGCCTGGAAGCTGAAGCTCCTCATGATCTGAACACAGAATGAAACTCTGAGGTCATACGTGTCCTACTTCATGTTCACAGCTGAGATCACTGCAGGGAGCATGACATCATGTAGGAGGAGGAGCTAATGGACAGCTAACAGGCTAACAGACAGGAGCCAACAGACAACTAACAGGCTAACTGACAGCTAACAGGCTAATGGACAACTAACAGGCTAACTGACAGGAGCCAACAGACAACTAAC